AGCATCAGCAAAGTTATTCTTCAAAGTTTTTTTGCGGATCCGCCGGGCGGATAAAATCTCACGTAGTTTCATCCGTCTTCGCTCAACCATCTACATTAACAGTGCCATCAGCTCCACTGGTTAAGGCACGTTCTTCGTCGCCTACCCCAGGTTTGTTAAACTTTGTGATGGATCATTTCAAAAAGCGAAGAGGGCCAATCAATACCTGGTCTGATACAGTTTTGAGCGTATAGATGGGCCATCGTTATATGAATTTAGACTATGGAAAAAAAATGGTAGAAAAAATTCTATTGTCAGCGGTAGCATCGGAGCGAATAACTTGTCTTGTAGACAGCGAAGCCAATAATAATGAGAGCTACAGTGAAGAGTTACAAGAAGAATAAAAGCACTAGTATAGTCTATATTCTTTATAGTGCTTTATGTGGTATTCCCGACCTTCGGGAAAAGTGTAGTCGAAATAATTTTTTACAGATCTCTTTGATTTTGGTTTTTGGAATTGTTGGTTGCAAATCATTGTTTGCCTCTTAGTAGTAAAAAATGATAGTTGATGATAGTTGACGCTGTTTGATGAATTCGAACGAGAAAAATATATATATATATAATCGGGTGGTAAAAATCGAGATTTCACACTTCCTGCATGATGTGAACTTTTTAGATAATATCATAAATGATATTATCTATTCTTTTTTTAAAGATAGCTAAGGATGACGCACAAGCTATATCGTTCGGTAATTTATTCCAGTAATTAATAGGACGAATAAAGAAATCATGAGTCCTTAGTTCAGTTTTGCACATAGGCTTTAGTAATTTTAGCCTATTAGTTCCTGTTGGATTCAAATTTAGCCTATTTAGCTTATAGTATTTTGAACAATCTAGTTTAACATAGCCATACAGAATCTTATAAGTATAAATTAAATTTTGAATCTCATAAGTATAAATTAAATCGACGAACTGAGAGAGAATCCAGGTTGTATTGTATTGTGTTCTTTTATAATTCACAAATAGGCTCCAATTATTTCATTGTCATTTTTTCTTTTTACTGTTATCATTTATTTTCTAAGTTATCGTATCAAATATTTAAATTGATACTATTTTGAATCAACTAGGATCAACTAGAATTAGGAAAATGAAAAATCCCGGTGGTACTGGAAATCCGCTTATATTTCTATCATCAGATGATTCTTCCTCATCCCAGTTGGCAGTAAGAGCACTCGAACTTGAAATAATATTATTAAAAGACTAAAATGATAGTATGATAATTTTAGTGTTGAATATCTAGTTATTATTGTTACTATGACGAAAACCAAACCGAATCCTAGTTTTATCTAAATCAAGTGTTTACATACGCATTGCTTCGTTTATAGAGATGCAGGTTGCCACTATCATTTTCCGCAAAAATGGGAATTTTATCCATTTTTTCCTCTAATTCCTGTTGATGAGACATTATCATCTCAAACGAAATTATTAAAGCTCTTCGAAAAGAAAATTTTAATATTACCTCGATTATTAACAATCGTATCTAATTTTTCTATTAGTGAATATACGATTATTCCTCAGTTAGTTCAGAAAATAAGCGATTTATTTACTTCTTTTTTTCGATTATTTTCGATAATAATTGGTTAACTTTTACTTTGGTAAGTAATCGCACCATTCTATGCTGAATTCTTTCTCTAGCTATCCTCCAAGTTGGAATTCTTCTAGGATTGTGTAATTTTTTTTTTTTCATATAGAAGATTCATTATCGTTGAGAAATGGTGAAAAATTTAATGGTTTATTCGTTCAACATATATCATTTTATTTTGAAAGAACAGAAATTTTCTAATCTTTCTCATGCAGATCGTGAACTATAAGCTATCACAAAATTTTTATTGTAATAAAGGAAAAATTATTGTGAAGAAGAATCTATAAATTTACATTGTTACTATCGTACTATCATAAATGATAAGATTCATACGTATTTTTGTGATAATTTTGTTCAGTCATCTCGTATTTATGATCTTTAACGCTGATATATTCGATTTGGTTTTTGATTTTCTCTATATATTCACTATATTTGCTGCAAATTTTCACATATTTTGAACTATCCTAGGCTAATTATCCTATATTTTCCATTCTTTTATGTCTCCTTTTCCTTTCAAGCTGATTTATTTTGCATAATAATTTGTTGCATAGTAGTTTGCATACAACAGAAGTTTTTTTAAATGGATTTTGTTTATAAATTTTGATGAATTCATTGTTTCCTGTTTTTACTGTGGATTTTCATTTTCAATCATTTTTTCGATTTTTTTTCGTTTCAATTTGATAATCGCATTTGAAAAAAGGTTATAATTTTTTAAAAGCTTAATATAATTGAGTTTTTTCTTCAATCTTCAATCATTAAAAGCATTATGGTTCTTTTGTTTGCTCTAAAAAATGGCTAATTCTGTTAGCGCATAAACTGGTTTTATTTTTTCAAAGCATTTTCTTTGCAACTTTAGTATAGTTTATTAGAATGGATTTATGGATTTCATTGATTTCATTTTTTATTTCCTTGTGCCTCTTCACTTTTCTCATTGTTTCCTTTCTTCAACGTATCATTCTATTATGAATATTATGAATCATTAATAATGATAGGAAATTTATCAGTTATCTTGAAGAAATGATTTTCTTCAGTGCTTCGAAGTCTTTATGTTGGCTTTTAGATTACACATTGTTCTTTTTAAATACCAGTATAGTCACCGAATGTCTTGGATTATTCCTTATTGTCGAGATTTTGTCGCATTATCATTCTTTGATCAATTATAAGATACAGTTTAAATTCATGCTTGAAAATTTTTATATTTTTTCATCAAAAAAGGATAAAGTTATTCAACATTAAACAAGCATTATTTATCAGGCAAAAGAAAAAATACCACCATGGAGCAGCAAGTTTGCTTTTTTTTTTCTTTTTTCTTCTCTTGTTTAATGCTTCTTACTTTTTTGATTTTGAGGTTGGCACGTTAGGCACTGGCATGTTCAATATCTTTTGCGCTAAGTGATAGATTCTCCTAATTATTGTTTCTCTTCCATCTCGCATTCGCATAAGATTTCCACTATTAATTTAATTTTTAATAATTTCAAACTTTAATAATTTTAATAATTTAATAATTAAAATTCTTCTAATGGTGAGAATGTTTGATGCGTGTTTCTTGGTTTTTCCTGGCTATTGCTTTCAGTTCTTTTATTTTATAGCGCAAGATTTGTCGGAAGATTAATTTTTTTTGACTAATCATTGGTAAAAGTTGAAAATTGTTTTGCTAAAGATTTGCTTGAAATTTTGAAATTTTTTTTGAATCTATTTGAGTTATCTGAAGCTTTTCGACATAAAAAGAAAGTTTTTAAAATCCACATTTATTTTCACTTACTTGCGCAGCATTTTCCACTAAAATATTTCCCATACTCTCACTTCATTTTGTCTAATTGGGCTAATTGTATTAATAGTGCCTAATTAAGGAATCACTGCATTTTTTAAATAATGTTAAATAACAAGAAAGCGTTTGCCATTAAATCGAATCAAATTTGCGGAAAGTGATAATTTGAAAATTTTTCAGGCGAGGCTTGTTTTCAGTTTAAAGGAGTCTAGGAATTGCCCAAAAATCCCCCGTTTGTCCTCGAAGTTCTACTGGTTAATTAGGACCGTTCTTTATTTAATTTGCTGTATTTTTATTTTTGGAATGTTTACTTCGATAACTTCATAAATTCTCTTCTCAGAATATTGGGAATTTCTAAGTCGCACCTTTCTGACTTGGTATTTCATATAAGATTATCACTTATCTAATTTATTTTATTGACCAGGATCAGAAGGGATTTATTAAAGGGAAGTGATTGTTAAGTACGTGGCATCAAAAAGGGTTTCACTGTTATTATACTCTTCATGTTTTTTTGTCAATGCAGCCTCATTTTGCCGAAGCGACGAATTTTGATATTGATCTTGGTTACGATTGAAAATGTAAAGAGTGCAAAAATTATACCAACTGTTCGGTAACGAAATTGATTTTTATTTTTTTTAGTCATTATTGCTAATATTTTATGGAATTCAGGAATTTTCATAAATCGTATTATTGAGACTTAAAAAGAAATTTTGAATAAAAAAATTGTGAAATGACTCGAAATATTAAATCAAATCTTTATTAAAAAAGTTTTTCTTTAATCGAAATCTGGTAGACATTTATATTATCGTTCATAAATTTGGAATTTATCTTTATTTTTGTTCGATAAAAATTGTTTCTTACGTCGAAATAGCACTCTTTTTGCGATTTGTTGGTCAGTTCATATTTTGAATATGAATTCGAAAACTGTGGTTGGAAACTGCTATGGTTGCTGTTATATCATATAACTTAAATCTAAACGGAAAAACAACGTAAATTATAATAATAATAATGCATAAAGTAATTGTTTTCATTGATATTGTACTAACCATTAGTTTGCTCTTGTCAGTGGATAAGAATCGAACCTATGCTGTTTATCATTGACCGAATTGACCGATGAGCAATCACCGCCTTTTAGTTAAGGTAGCATCGCAAATCTTATTCTGACAGTCATTTTTTATTCATTTTTCAGTGAAAGAAAGGATAGATTTTTAATTTTTAAAATTTTTCAAACAATCGTAGTTTATCGTCGTTCTTTGTTTTAATTTGCTTACTTATTTGCTTACATATTTATTTAATGAAACTTTATGATTTTATAATTGCTTCATCGCTCGACATTTATTCAATCTAATTACTTCATTCTTGGTTTTTGTTTGTAATTTTTAATCATTTTTTATCATTTACATTTCCATAATTTCATCCAATCTTATAGCGAAACTAATTTTTATCAGAAAAAACAACAAATAAAAATTTATTAATGTCGTTTGGGATTAAGGTAACTTTTTTTGGTGACTTCCCGCTCATGAATTCATTATTGTGACGCGAATTATTTAATGCGATTCGTAAAAATTACAAATATTGTCCTAGGTTTTCAGTTCAAGTTATTTTCAGTTTATGCTGTTCGTTGCATGTCTACTGTTTCCTCAAATACTGATTTTAGTACGAAATATCAAAGGATTGCAACGGAATATGCCAAGGCAGGTTTTATTTTTTAAGATTTGTTGAATTTTTAGGTCCAACATCCTTGCAGATATCTTTGTTTTTTTCAATATGTTTTTATTGACATTTTCTATGTTCTCTTTTCTGCTTTTCGTTTGTTTTTTTAATAATATAGATTGATTTCAGTTAAGAGCGCAAGTTAATGTCTTGAAAAATGCTGTTATTGAAGAACAATCGAAAAACAGAAACAATTTGGTAGCATTTTTTTAATTTTTTTTTGAGCTATAATTTAGGCATTATAAATATTTCAAAAGGCGCTATTTACATAAGCAGAATTTTGATAAAATCCGTTTTTTCCGCATTTCATTCTAAATTTCGCCTGAATATTTCTTTTTACAATTTTTACAAAATTTTTGTAGGGTTTCCAAAAAAATTGGAATTTATTTTTCTTCATCATTTGGTCTTATAAACTTGTCATTTTGCTAATTAACGAAATTTCTACGGTGATATTTTATAGTTTTCCCAAACTTTCATAACTTTGATTTTAATTTTCTAATTTTTGAAATTTTCTTTTATTCTATTTTCCGAACTTCTAGGAAGAACTTCATGCAAAGGAAACATCGCTTCGCAAACTTACTATCGAAAATGAAAGTCTCGAGTTTCGAAATGCTCAACTGTTGAAACGAGTAGAATGTCTCCTAGCAGAAATCAACACCGTTCAGCAGCCTTCTTCAAAGGTTGTTTCAGAAAGGCTTATTTATTTGAATTTTTGTAATCCGAGCATGAATAATGCCAGAAACGATGGAAGTTTGCCTATTAATTATATTTATCCAGTCATCGCGAGACTTATTATTCGTAAAAAGCGATTTGATTTTTGTTTTTTTATTGTCTTCTGGGATTTTAGAAACAAAGCGGTTCTCGCAGTGTTGCTTCTCGTTCTGTTCAGCCAGATTTTGATAAATGTTTATTGAAAAATGAGCTGGCAGATAAAGTTCGCGAAAATGAAGCTTTGCATTCTAAGGTTAATTTTTTGCTTTTTGGAAGATATATTGTTTTCGATTTAATAAAAGAAAGTTACACGAGAATTAATATTTTTTGTTATTGTTTTATTCGCTTTGCCACTTTTCGTGATTTTTATGTTTAAAATTGTATGTAGCTTTTTATTTAGGTATCTGAGTTGGAATCTGCTCATGAAGAAAAGTTGTTAGAAATCAACAAAACAGTTAATTCTATTAAAGCGGAGAATGATTTTTTGAGAGGGGAAATTGATCGTCTAACCAAGCAATTTCATAAAAATTCAATTTCGCATTTTTATATTTCACAGCCGTCGAGTTTGCAACCAGATCACCAGCAAGAGGTTGGCCAATAAATTAAACATAATATCTTTAGTATGTGTAAGATGGGTTTTTCTAAATCAATGTTTTTCATACGATTTATATTTATAATCTTTTGGAACTTGCCTTATTGCAGCGTATTAAAATATTTTTAAGCAAAATGAATTAGGAATATCCAAAGATATAGACGAAGTGAAAGCCACGAATCGTGTTCTTCAGCTTGATTCAGCCAGAACAATTTTCTCGCTTGTTACCAGCTTCATAAATTTATTACAGTTGTTTGAACAGCGTTCCTCAATTTATCCTAATGACATGACCATGGAAAAATTACCCGAAGTAACTGTCATGGTATGAAATAAAATTGCCTTTTTTATGGTGTCATAAACTTTCACTAGTTCTTACATATTTTTGCGCAATTTCGCTATCTCAAGGAAAAAAAATATTTCATCGGTTTATTATTGTGCTTAATTTTATTAAACGATTATTCTACATTATAATAATTTAGCTTGGTACTTCGCTGTTAAAAAGTGTTGAGTTGTTTAAAAATTGGCGCTATCGGCTTGAAGAAGCTTTAGACATTTGTAATAGAGATGAGAAAATGGATATAACTGAAAAATATTTCGATACATTACCGTTTCTCATTGATGCTGTTGATTCTAATAAGGTGAGCATTTATTTTATGCTTTTTGCGTTCGTTTTTGTTGGGTTTTTATTGTGCTTAATATGGATTATTTAAAATTGCCTTAGAACTGGATTCAATTGTTCAACGATAGGATTGAACAAGAAAATCGTCTTTCATGGAGTGGTTCCAATTTATGTCGATGTAATTTGCGTTGGGGTGAGTTAGTGACGGAATTAGTTATGTCACTGGATCATCTATGCGCTGAGTTGTCTAATGGATCTAATGGATCAGTGGTGAGATCTTTGGACCAGATCAAAAATATATTCTCTGGTAATTATTAAATTTTTTCCGATTTAAAATTTTGAATTTTAGATTCAATTGTTTGTAAGATAACTGACTAAACAAGCGACTTATGTTATTGGTATTATCGCCGAGTTTTCTTCGATATTTTTCTTATTATATTTATTTTTTTATATTATATTATTTATTATATATTATATTATATTTATTATATTTATTTAGTTGAAAAATTGTTCAATTATTGAAAGAAATTTTTTTAAAATCGCTTGGAAACTTCATTTTTAGAGTGTTGTAAAATATTTACCGCAAAGTTGTTCGATGAAAATCGCTTACCGACAGCATGTAAACGGCTGCGTTGCATAAATGAATGTATTGAAAAATGTCTTCGATCTATATTGAAGAATTTGTCAAATTTAACTTCCCTTTTGGAATTGTTTGATGGGTCGAATTGCGCTTTTCGGTAACACTTATTTTTTAATTTGATTCGATTTTATCTCACAAAAAGATTACCATGTCATTGGCAGATTGATTGATTGATTATGTGCTATTTACTGATTTATACATAGAAATTTCGTATTATTATTTTATAGCCTTAATGCTCACAAAATATAAGCAAAACATCGCAAAAAATCGCAAAGAAATTTTGAATTTTTTGAAATTTGAAGCATAAAAAATATTGTACTATTTAAAAATTTGCCATAAAACAGTCCAATGTAAACAGTCTTTACTTTGCTCGTCTTTTCCTTATCATCAACTGATTTATTTCTGATATGAAGTGAAAGTTCAATATTGTTCAATATTTAAATGATCCAAATTTTTTCCAGCTTCAACTTTTAGCAACTTGTACTCTGTTTTTCCATTTATTTTATTATCTATTGCATTATTTTGTTGTTAGATCTCTGTCTGTGCAGAAATCTGCTGACGATTCACTGGAGATTGAATCACAAACTGGTTTTCGCTATATATTCAAGCAGACTTCCAGTGATATGTCGCCGTTTGGTCCTTTATTCGAAAAAAGGAGTTTCAAAGCAGTAGGTGTTTGAATTCAGGTTATCATAAGCTTTGTTTACTACGATTTATTTTTGTGAACAACAAGAAGCTTTGTGTATTCTCTTTCAACCATATGATTTACATATTTTGTAGGCGGATAGTCCAGGTGAAACTGCCTCATTGAGTCACGATAATTTGGATGAGGTTTAATTTTTGATTATTATTCTTTAAGTTTATGTAAAATTCATTCTTAAAGAATCCATTTTTCAATCACCAAATTTATTTAAAGATATTTCCAAGATTATGCGAATTTTCTTTTTTTTAAGTCAACGAAAAATTCTTAAATAAGTAGCTTTTTTTAGTTGCAACGAGTTAAACAACAGTTAGTCGACGTGGAAATGGAAAAAGAAAGGTATAGAGTTGATGTTGAGGTGCTAACAAGAAAATTGAACAGGTAATTTATTTCTATGTGCCATATATCATCGGTGAAAAAGTTATGTGATTTTCATTGTTCAGTTTTGCGTCAATAAATTGCTTTCCGCTTCTGCTTTTTTCTTCTATTAACTGGAACCATTGCTGGTTTGGCTTTTTCAACTGGCGGCTAAGGTTAAATTAAAGGAGTGATTTGTAGTTTTCAATCTTCTCTATCTGGTGCCATTCGTAAAGTAAATGAAGCCACTTTTTTTCCACCTTCTAATCCCATATACTGCGGGATCGTATCTATATGTTCAAAATCTAACCTGACCGTATCAGTTCAGGTTTTGATTGTTCCTTCTTGCTATTGACGCCGTCCATCATAAGGTTTAGTAAGTAACGAGATGTGCCTTAATTCCTGTGGTGGGCGACGAAGAACACGGCGAAATCAGTGCAAGTGACGCTTTATTTTTGTGATTGATTTCATTATGACAATATGAGACTCTGTTATCTTGGTGAGTAGGAGGGATGTACCCTAGGGAAAAATAGTTAAAGGCAAATGGTTGTCTGATATCTTCCACTCTTATTGGCCAATTTTCTATAATAAGTTTGTATATATTACATAGGTGTGACTTTCACTTTGAGGCTGATTTGCTGATTTCGTATCGATGTAGAAGGAGCTTCTCCGGACAAAAGAAGGCATTTATAAAGGGTTGTGCTGCTATCCGGGCTGGATTTTCATCTTTTGCTTCTACATTAGCTTTAATAATAAGTATGGTTATCTTCTCTGGAACACTATCATGACATGCCAAAGCGGCGGTTATGTCGGCAAATTCGACGAAGTATATAACGGTAGATTGTCGATATTTAAAATAATACTGCTGTTTTTTTACCTGGTTATTATGGTTTGCAGTTATCTTTTTATGCATTAAGGCATCCATGCGATGGTAATTGTTGTGGCGGCGCACTGTCAGATGAACTGGAATTACTTCAAGCCTATTACGAAAATAGGATAAGAAATTTGTTGCTCGATTTGAAGTTCCTTGAAGGCAAATCAGTTTACTACAAAAATGAAGTATTGTTCGTTTGTAATTTTTCAACATTTTACGAAATACCATATTTATTTTATTTCGTTGCAGTCATTTTTTTCTATTTTTTCTACTTTAAAATTTTTCTTTCCTTTTAAAGGGATAGAAAATAGAGTGAATTTTAGTACTGCTATACAATAAAGTAGTTGAAAAGTTTCTCGGAAATTGTTTTTTCATTTTCAATGCGCCCAAGAATTTTTATTATTTGTACTTATATTTGTAGTGCGAAGATCTCTTGAGAGCAAGCAATAAAACGTTGAATGAAAACAAAGAGCTTACGAGAAAACTTATCCTTGCCAATGAACAAATAGCTCTGCTAAATGTACGTCAAAGCTTCTTTTCATTACTTAAACAACTTTTCTATTATACAAATCTATTATTTTAGGATGATCTGAATACAACTCGTAAAGGTTATGAGGATCAGATGCGCCTTTTATATGAACATTTGGGTAAACTTAATGCAACAATATCAGATCAGTCAAATATTGTTAGTTCAGTGAATAGTTCAAATGGTATAGGCAACATAAAGCAAGTTTGCTTTTAAACAACTTCACTAATTTTTAATAATATTACACTTGCACATTAACGTCTGAAGTGTAAAAAGGTTCGGTGGATTGCTTCTCTTATTTCAAACCGTCAGAGTTAGGTTTCTGTTTCTGATATCTTTTTTCAAAAACCCTGGTAAAGCTGACGACTCACCTAAACTTCTGTAGCCAAATGGCTCTCTGGATTACTTCTTTGGTTTCTCTGCTCTGACGAACCAGCGGAGTGTTCTTGGAGAAAAAATATTTAGTGCCCATTAGGATTCTCTGGGAAAAAGTTAATAGATTGAAAGTGGATGAAGAATGAAATATGTTACGAAATAATTTTAATTTTGAAATGTTATGTTTCTAAATTTTGCTTTTCTTTAAAATATTATAGAGAGTGAGGTAATTATATGATGAAATTTTCTTTAATTTTAATTCTTCAAAAATCTGTTTTTGTAATTTTAGAATTCTCGAAAACCTTTATTTAAATGAAAAAATCGGGAATACAACTAAAAGGAGTGGCGAAAAAATTTCAATTTGCTGAATCTGTGATCGAACCAAACTGGCAAAACTAATTAAATAATAAAATGAAATATTTTTTTGGTTGAATGCTGGACTGTTTAGTCGGTTTGGTTTTAATCATTTTGTTCGATTTGTTTATTTATGTTTTGCATTGATTTCTTTTGGCTGTACATTTTTACTGAATATCACTGAAATTCAGAATAGAAGTGCAAGTATAACCATTATTTTACAAATTTTCCATTTATAAAAATTCCTATCACTCAGTTTTTTGTGTTTTATTAATTCTGGCTGATAATTAAACAAAATTCTAATATATCGATCTAATTCTAATTCTAATTTTAATTTATTTTTATTATTCTTGTAGTTCTTTTTCATTTAAATTTGCCTTTAATTTATTTGAGCATTATGTCCAGAAGTTTTGCGTTCATTCTGCTCGCCCATCCTTGTTCTCTTCGTGTAATTATTCCCTATACGAATTACCCAATCTTTACATTCCTAATCTTTACATTTCTAAGCTAAGGGTCTCTTATTGCATTTTAATTTGGTGCAGTTTGCGCTTTTTTATTTTGTTTATTTTTTTTTATTTATGAAAACCTAATAAAAATTTATATGAAGTGGAAAATTGTTAATAAATGAAAAATTAAAATATGAGCGCTTTCAAAAGAGTTTCATTTCACATATATTAGTAAATTAAATCAATTTTTCGAAATTAATTATTCAACACAATAATTAGATGAATTATTTGCAAGTCAAAAAAAAAACAATCATTGAGTTGTAATAACAACTTTTATAAGCAAATAATAAGCGAAATAATCGATCATCGACTCGAATTATTCTCGTAATATGCATGAGAAAGATTTCGCATACAAATAGAAAGCATTGTGAAATATTTAAATAATTGATTATCGGACGATTATCACTTACGATGATCAAATATTATCATATATCTCTCATCAAAGAAATTCAATCAGTTCGCTTTAAAATCTCGCATTATTTAATAGAATTCGAGTTGTTGTTGAATATTTCTCGTTCCGATGAGCCGTCGTCGTCGTCGTTTATTCTGTACTGTCACTATCAAATAGTTGTTTTGGTTTAAATGAATTTTAAGGAAAAATTTTTTATTTGATTGAAATTCTTATTAGGAAACTTTGCTGTATTGCAATAACGCGTCGTATTATTAACCGAATTCAGTGAAGTGTTCTAAAGCATTTCGGCTTAAATCAATATTTTCGTTAAGCCGCAAACATTATTTCGAAGGATTCACATCAATTTTATTTTTGCTGGATAATTGTTAAAAACAAAGTGGAAAATTTTTTCGATCACTCATCCAAATAATTTATTCATTCGTAGTTGCAACGATTTCGCTCATTTTTTCGACACTTTTCGCTAATTTTATTTTCGTTTTTTTTTGAATTATATAATTTAATTTATTAATTTCTTCTCTTCCATAAATTTGATTTATTTCAAATATAATTTTCTACAAATTCTATTATTTCATGTGTCTATGCAAGTTTTTTCCTTAAGGGTGCTCACCGAGTATAACTGCTTAGATTCGCCTCGCCGATTTGTCGCCCTAGAAAAATATGCCAGAGAAGTCCCTTAGCGATCAGAAGTGCGGGTTAGTCGTTAGGCGTCACTCGAAAGTTAGAGTGAGACATGAAGGAAAGTGGATTGCAGTTTCGCAAGTCTAAGGTTAACCGCTGGTATCGTCTTTTGCTTTGCTTGAAAAACGCAACCAGCATCAATATCATTCGTATCGCTTGATGGAAGCAAAATTTCTATTAAAAGTGAAATCTGAGTGGTATTGGCAATTGACATTTCTGTTGATTTACATGAATGAATTCTCTCTCGATCATGCGAAATTTCATGAAATTTGCAGTATTTCATATAACTTTTCTCGATTTTCTTCCAATTTTTCCCATAACCATTATTCGGCACAAATATCATTCGATATTGTCATTTGATTTCATGAAGAATTGCTTTTTTTGTGAAGCGTGCACGTTCGCATTTCGATAATGGCAGCTCTAATTGAATAATAATAATTAAGTTCGTTCAAATCATTAAGTTATGTTTGAAAACACAGAATTTCTTCGAATTAAGCTTAACATTATGGTATTTTTTTGGGTGAAAAGGGAAAAAATCATAAATTGAATTAAAATTTTCATTCCATTGTCCCATCGAAACAACGTATTTAGGCATATATTCACTAAATTTAGTTTTTCTTTTTTTTCATCCTTTTCAAAGAAAGCAAATAAGCTATTGTTGAGAAATCGTTGATGAACGCTTAAAGAAATCCCACGTTTATTTTAATATCGCAAAAGTTATGAAAGGTTGTATGGCTTTATAACAATTATAAGCACTGGCTAACTTGCAGTGAACTGCTGCAACTCGTAATAAGAAAGAAATTGATTAAATTAAATATATCCTTCCATTCATACATGATTGATTGCTTAAAAGACTAGAAAAGATGAGTGATTAAAGCGAACTTGATAAATAGTCGTTGGAATACTATTAAATTTCTCATGCATGCGTGGAAAAAATTTTTGTTAGAAATATGAAAAAAATAAATGATAATTATAATTCGTTGCCGAAATTTCCTTAGATATTTTTATTTTTAAACAATGCTTTACAAGATTTCGCTCGAGAAAAAATTTGCTACACGTACAGTGCAATAAATTGGTTATGTGCCGAGCCCTTTATCATTCGGATTATGATAAATGATTATCTTGTATCTATGAGAGAAATGCGTGCAATCAGCTTATATAGCCTCTAAAATTCGCCGTTAACGTTGCTATTACTATTTCTAAATTTTTAAAAAACAAGGATGCGAAAAATTGTCTCTGCCTAAATTAGGTTTAAGTCTAAATTAATTTCAGCAAAAAATAGGATTTCCCTTCCATTTATCAATTTTTAATTTTTTTAAATGCTTTTTTTTCTTTCCAAGAATGTTTATTTTTTCTAGCTAGTCTCGCTTAATTAGCCAGGCAGATTTTTGCCAAGGAATCATTTAGTGATAAAAATATTGATGAATGGCTAATATTACTCAAATTTTTGATAAACAGCTTATTCTTTTCAAATTTTATTTTAGGTTGATATTTTATAATCATAATTTTTTATCGATATTTTATGTTTCATTGAATAATTCACAAATTTTTGCGGATTTATTGTGGTTTTAAAAGTATTTGAGCAAAATGAATTTTTAATTTAATCGAATCACTTAATCCTTTTTAATTTTAAATTTTATGGTTATAATTTGAGCAATGACTGTAAAATTTTCAAAAAATTTAGAGATTTTTTCAAAATTAATAGTCCATAGGACGCATCATAGCTCAATGCTCTCACTTCGGAATACCAACGCTGGGATCCAAACCTGGTAGGAGCTAAATCTCGTCTTTCAAAAGTCTGGATGATGCCAGTTATTCAGTCTGCTTTTTTCTCACAAGAGAAATGCTGAGCGCTTTTAGACATGAAAAAAAGAGAGCTAGTAGGATAACGAATACGATGTATATTTACCGATATAAAATGGTGCATATTCTGGCAGTGAACGCTGAATCTGAGCTTTACATTTACGCCCGTAGATGATGGATTTATGCACAAATTATATTTATTTCATCATTATATTTTAAATTTTTTTTAAAATTTGTTTATTCATTTAGAAATCTGCTTAAGTATTATGCTTACTGAAATGCTATCTGTTTGACTCATTTTATTAATTTATCAAATATTCTTATTTAAATCTTATTTTTAAAGTAAATTACAGCAGTTAAATTAAGATTTGTGTAATAAATAAACTAAACTAAAGGCGTAGGGGAATTGCATATCAGACAACTTCAACTACGATAAATAATTCAAAAGTATATTTAGCAATGAAGACTCATAGCATTAATGTTTTTCTATTCGCAGCATAGTCTAAGATGGATGTAGCTTAGACGAATGGCCCTTGCTTAAATTATCGAATTAGGCGTTCGGTATCCTACCACTGATAAATGTAAAATCATCATTAAAAAGATCTAAAAATTGCTGCTGTGGGTCCAACCGTTTTTCTACGCCCGAGTGATTGTCGACTGAAACTCCTCTATGTACTAAAAATGATAGCGAGATTACCTTACCTAAAACTGGTAAGCGCTAATCATTCACTGAATTACTTTTTATATGTCGATGAACCAACTTGATAGGTGAATCTGCCGATCGTTACACTCCAAGTTTTTTCCTAAGAGAATTCACCATAACTGGTTAGGCTCATTGCGCTTATCAAGCCAAACAAATTTTATCAAGAGATCACTTAGAAGTCGATAGAACTCAAGGTGAATCGCAAGCATTGCTGGACTCCTGAAAGGTTTTCGCCTGTTTAGAATAGAACACCAGCATCGGCGCTCTATAATGAATACTCATTGAGCCATTCCAACTCATTTTTCAATTTATTTTATAATACTGAATAAAAAATTTTTCATTATTAAAACATCTGTAAATTTTTAAGAATTAAATTTATAAATTA